TTTATTATTCAGGTAAAAAATACCCGGGGGATTTTGAACCTCAACTATATAAAAACCCTCTCACTTTTCCAAGAGATTTTTCTTGTAGCTGCAAATTATACGTCATAAAATCATCAGTTCTAAAGCACTCGTTTTCTTTCGAATATTTGGATCATCAGACTTTCAAAAATTAATCTGGCGTATTGAGAACACCCCTGTTCAATTGATTACGTTATGCTTTTGTTCTTGAAGCATCACAAATCGGTTAAATTTTTCTAATTTTTCTATTTACAATTTATTTACAGACGCACACGTGCAAACAATATCTATTTTTACAAAATATTGATGGTAGGGAGAGCAACAGAAACTTCGCTATTTATTAGATACTAAAGCGATTAATTCCGAAGATGAAGAAAGCATTTCAAATACTGGGTAATTTTATAGAAAGAATAGCACTGTACTGAACAATCTGGTCATTTCACAGATTCAAAACAAGTACTATAAGAAACTTCTAAACAAGAGAGTGGAATTCCGAAAACGAATAAACAACCTTTGACCACTGCGAATATTTTGCCTTCTGCTAAATACAACGTAAACGAATGCTACAATTTTTCTGCATTCTGCTTTCTCCAAATTGAAGAAGACTTTTGCAACAGTGTTATACGAGATCAAATCTCCCGAATCTTAAAAAAAAAAAGAAGCCTCACTGACTTGAAAACTAGTAAACATTGATGTTTCAAAAAATGGTATGCAAAAAAGGTATTCTCCGAGAAAAGATATGATACTAAATACTTTTTCCATTAGCTATAACATAAACATGTACTTAAACCAGTGGTTTTCGAACTGTGGGGTGCGACTCCTAGACGTCAAGAAAACGAACGTGGGGGGCGTGAGCACATCAAAAAAAGTCGAAAATAAAAGGTTATTTAAAAGATTACACTAGGCAAAATCAAAATTGTTTCGGGCTCAAAAATAGTTTATTATGAGGTATTTTGGTGTGCTAAACACGAAAATCACCATTAAAACTTTAGATTGGTTCTTGTTTTTAAGAATCAAAACTCGTTATTCATAAATAGCTGTATTTTTACTCATCTTTACTTTATGTGTATAATCTTTTTGATGTTCATTTGAGCGGATAGATGGAAGCTCTTGCTTCAGGATCGATTTTTACTTTAACGAAAGGCGTGTAATCGCGCCACCTTTCTTCAGGTGTGTTTTGAATCTAACCTAGGACATCAGTAGAACAAAGAGCAGGCAATAGTGCACGATTCAAGTGATATTCGCTGTGTTTCGTCTTACAATTCAAAGTAAATCCACTCAACTATATTTAGGGCTCAAAGATAAGTGTGGTATAAGGATTTTTAGACAGCAAAAAGGATGAGAACTATTAACAGTCGGTTAAAGAACTCCTACACAATTTTTATGACCCAGGATGCAATATGTCTCTAAAGATCCATTTTTTACATTCCCATCTTGACTTTTCCCCCTAAAAACTGTGTAACTGTAAGCGATGTGGACACAGTGAAAGGCTTCATCAAGATATCACAGCAATGGGACGTATATATCAGGGTCGTAAGGGATGAATCAATGCTCGCAAATTACTGCTGGACAGTTATAAGTGATACTCGGGTTTCGATATACAAGAGGTGGAAAGGAAATGTTCACAGGAAATAAACTAAAAAATACTACTGATTTCTGATATGGACACGGTTTCTTGAAACATGACTTATTGTATTGTATGTATTAGTTAGTAATGTTTTGTTCTTCAAATTTACCAATGAATTGATGGATGGGCTGTTGTATATCTTAAAAACAAGAGCTATTAAAAAAATTTGTATGTACATATTCGTTTTTTTTTCAACCCAAAATTAGTAAGAATAGGCTATTTAAAACTAGGAAACAGACAAAAAGTTGTTTTTTGTTGCCTAGTGTTATTAACTTACTGAAAGGAACCAAAACAAAATGTATACATTCTGAAATTATAAAAAGCCAATCATACATTTAGACTTATATAATACACTAACAAAGGTATCATTACTGCACAATATTTGATTGTATTTTAGTATTGATTATCACTACTAAATTAAGAACAAGTTTAATTATTACTATGACCTCATGAGCTTGTATTGCAAAGAAAAATTTTGCAAGGGAAGACGATTTCACAGATGTCAGCAAGAATGCCGGTTGTGATGAATAAAAGATAGAAAACAATAGACTATACTGTTTTTCTAATGACATTTGTACTTTTAGAAATGAATAATTGAGGTTAATTTTAAGTTATTTTTAAAAAGATCCAGTTTAAAAAATGAGAAAGGAAAAGTAACGTAATACTTTTTTATCCTATTATATATATACTTAAAAGTAACTTAAAATATCCCTTACTTAAAAATTATAACGTGTGTAATTTTTGATATTTATATTGATAATTTGTACGGTTTATAATTAAGGTCATTTTGCAGCTTTAGTGCTAAAGTACAGCACTATTACATTCAATACATTGTTATTGCATAGAAGGGGGTGTGGCGGAAATTATAATTGAAAATAGGGTCACAAACATAAAGAAAGTTTGAAAAGCATTAGCTTATAAAGAGTATGAATGCAATATTTTCTAAATATTTTGGAAAAGACTAAAACAGACTATTATTATTTTCTATTGCACTTATTAGTACCACAAAAAAAGCTTATTACTGAAACATATATATATATATATATATATATATATATATATATATATATATATATATATATAAATATATATAATATATATAATATATATATATATAATATATATATATATATATATATATATATATATATATATATATCACATATATTTCACGAAAAAATCTAATTATATGTTAAATATTTAATATGTTTGGATGACTTTGCATCCGTATTAGCCTCGCATTTGCTTGCAAACAAAATTCATAATATTTTTTATTGATTTATTTTCTGTGTTTTTAAAAAAAAAAACATGTAATTGTTACATGAAAACAATTTCTTAATAAAATAAACTTGTTGAAAGTTAAGGATCTTCTCAAATCCCCGCGATTAATAACATAACAAAAGTAGGTGAAAGTGATTCCGTGTTAAAAATAAACCAAATAAAATAGATGGAAACATATCAAAAAATTGATTTTATTTGCTCATGATGAAAGAAAAGACGCAGGCGAGATTTAAAAAATCGCAACGAAGATTATAATAATTCATATTTATAATTTTGTGAGTGAAACAAAACACGTAAAATAAAAAAAAATTAAATCAATTCCTAATTAGGTCAACAAAGAGAAATTTTATTTTAGTTACTTTTTATTAAACACTTACAATTAACCTCTTAGCGGTCGGATAAATTTGAAGAAAACTGTCCTAAAAGTGCCTATTTTTTTATTCAAGAAAATTATATAAAACTAAGTACATGTTCAATATATGTATTCATTTTTAATTTTTGGATTAATTTTTAGCTTGAAATATGAAACTTAATTGTTTAAGTAAAGCAAACATTTAGGGATATATTCACTGAATGTTGGTTTTCCAACAAAGAGAAAAAATTTAAAGAAATATGTGTTTAAAACGTTAAATGAAAATTTTATTACACTTATAATTTTTTTTGCATGAACGCTAGTAATTTTTCTTGTGTGATAAATTTCAAAGCATGAGGTGGCCGTGGTAGCCGAGTGGTCTAGGCATCGGATCGCGGCTAGCATGCCATGAGTTCGATCCCAGTACCACTGAAGACCCACCTTGTAGGGGAGCGATGCACGTTAAATCTGTCGAGAGCTCAAACATCCTCCCGTTGGCGTGGTGTGGTAGTTAGGAGAGGGGGCTTCCAGCTCAGGTGTCGTCCGCGTCACTTGACCATGGTTCAAAATTACGCGGACCGTCCCCAAAAGCCCTCGTGTAGCTGAACAGTGGGACGTTAATATTCACTCATTCAAAGCATGAGATGCAAATGCCAACATCACAATCTGGACAGTAGTACCGAGTTTCTTTTCTGCATCTATTGTTTTCATCTCTTTTGGAACAACGCACTTTGCATTCTCTTGATGTTTGCCGCTTCTTATCGACTGGAGGTATCTGTTTAATAAAATGTCTTTCAATTAAATGGTTGGGGTTATTCTCCAAGCTTGGCCGGCTTCTTTTCGCAGTCGTTTCTGATATAGAATTTTTTCAATAAGTTCATCTACTTTAGATAAACGAAACATCAAATGTGATTCTTAGCCTCCTTGTTTTTTGTAAATAAAAGGTACGAGTTCCAAATAGTTTGGTCTAACCAATGAAAAAATATTTTCTTATAGTACTTATTACCTCGTTTTCGAGCAATAGAGTAATCTCCTATATATTGGCCTACAATGTCTACTGCTTCCATACTTTTATTATAGTTCATGACAAAAAAAGTACTAAAAGTAGAATCCGATTCCCTTCATGGCTCTAACTCCATATACTGTGTACAATTTTTTAAAATATATTTTTTTTTATCAGAGAACGTAACCCACGTTTTTTCACGAAGAGAGTAACTAAGTACTTTACCTAAAATTACAAAAACGTATTACTAATTTGTATGTTTGATTGTGTTGACACCTAGTTAAAAAAATTAAATAATTATCGCTAAATACGTTACAAATAATATGGTACTGCCATCTGGTGAAAAGATTAAGAAATAAAAAAAAATTCCGGGCTTAAGAAATAGATTTGTTCTAGCTTTTTTTGGCGAGTTACTTTTTAACACTCCAGCCCGGAAATATCACGGGCACGAGGAATAGAGAGGGAAATTTCACCCTGTGAATTTGACGGGAGCGAAAAGCAAGGGGTTAATATAAATATGTATATACATATACATAACTGAATCACAATATTTAATGACAAAATAAGAAGTGGATCTCCCTTACAATTTTCCATTTTCTTTTCTATATATGGTGTTTGACTATTATTTTTTTGTTTTTGTTACTATTTATTCATTAATTAAATTGAATTATTTTAATAAAATAGTATAAGAAAAGAAATTACGTTCTCAAAGGTAAGGCCATCCCAGGTGGGATTTGAATCCACGACATTTGGATTAAAAGTCCAACGCGCTATCCATAGCACTACAGAGACACAACAAACGGTTTTCTTTTCTATATACAGTCGATTCTCGATAATTCTAAGTTGGAGGGACCAATCAAAAACTTCGAATTATCAAGAGGGTAGAAAAAACTCCCAAAATACAAGAAGAGAATTTTTTTTCTAATATTTAAATTTAAAACTATGTAATAAAACAACAATTGTACATATGTATAAAATTATTTTAAAGTATTTTTAAAAATACATATGATACAATATAAATGTTATACAGAAGTTAAAAGTCCAGTATTAAAAAACACATTCAATACATTCTTACACAACCCTACACATCTCTTCACAATAGTGGACCACCCTTTCTGAACACATGTGTAGCAAGACCACGTATTAAACGAAAGATATGGACAGCTGACAACAGGTGCGGTTGGTCTATTGCCCACTTGAAGAAGGAAAGCAAAAAAGTGTATTTTCGCCAGATTAACCAGAAAACACAAAGAAGGTGTAGCAGACAGATGGCCATTAAAGGGGCTACGTTACAGGGGAGACACGCAGAGACAATAAAACACAAAACTTGTAAGCTCCAACCTGTTTGCCACAGGACTGTACTTGATAGTGAGAGTTCGAATTGTCGAGAGTTTTACAAGATAGCTTCGAATTATTGCGTGTTGTAGTCAGGCCAACACAGATTTTACTTCAAAGTATTGAGTGTACCCAAACGTATTGTTTTAGTTCGAAATATTAAGAGTTTTTCTAGGGACTGAGCATATGTTTCGAATTATTGAGAGGTTCGTATTATCGAAGGTTTGAATTATCGAGAGTCGACTGTATGCTGTTGGACTATTATTTTTGTTTGTTACTACTTAATCATTTCTTAAAATTTAATGAATGACTTAATATTTGAAAAAAACTTTATTAACATCAATTTCCATATACAACACATTTAAAAATGATATTTGAGCTTGAATGAATGAAAAAAAAAGTATTTTATGAATGATTGAAAATTTAAACAAGAAATACACACACACACACACACGCATATATATATACATATAAGGATAGAGTGAACTAATAGTAGGAATCGAAGAAAAAACTACATTAAATACATCAAAACTACTGTTTCTCGAAAATTATAATTTAAAAAACATTATTTTATTCTATTTTGCTAGGCAGGTTGTTCTTCTGGTAGTACATAACAGACAAAGTAATATAAAAGTGCTTTATAATACATCGTGACAATAATTCATCATGGTCTTCAATATTTTTGTCAAGCCTTTATTAATCAAACCTGCAACCCCACGATGTACTTAACTTTTTACAGGGGACTTTATGAGGGAAATTTCAAAATTCAATACCTGATGCCTATCCGATGGCTATTCCCAAAGTGATGTTTTTGGCAGCTGTCACAGCCATAAGGTTAAAGATCAGGAGGGTAGCTGAAAGAGCAAGGATTGAGTTTGGATTTTAGAATTGCTTCATTTAACAAGATACAGAGAGTTGTTCCTGATTCTCATTTACCACTTGGATGGATAATTATTTTCGGAACACCGAGTTCATGCTTAACTTATGTCTCATCCACCGGCTTGAGGTCCATTAAATTATTTTTTATTGATCAATTAACGCTTTTTTTTAAATGCGGATCAGATCAGTTTGTAAAGAAAATCAAAGTTTGGAAATTGATTAGAAAAAATATATATTTTTTATGCTATAGAGTTGTTGAAGATTTTGTATTATGTTACCTATGAGAGAAATAATTTTGAAAATAAAAGTTGTAGAAGAAACATTGTAAGTATATATATCAGGTATTAGATGATGAAGAAATAAAGAAACCCGCGATGAAATATTCATTATTCATTAATATATATATATATATATATATATATATTGGTACAAAAACAAAAGAGTAAAAGTTACAATGATCAACGTTTCATTTATTATCCAACTCAAATATTGAATTTTAAAATTGTGAATACACAATCGTGTTTTTGTTGCCACCGAAAAATAAAACTACAAATTAGTAATCGTCATCGAAACTTATTTTTAGCTGAACGCCAGTGGCAACAAACTATGTTGACGATTGATTCGACAGGAAGCAACATGATACTCATTACGATAACATATAACTAACTCATTCTATATTTCGAGTTATTCCCTATATTCAAATTCATAATCTAATGTTTTACATTCTAATGTTCGACATAAAATTTATTTAATTAACGAACTCTTATTTTTTGACTAAGCGGCTTTGCTTCACTATAAAACAGCCATCACACTCAACAAAAATTTCTATAATGATTGCATTTAAATACCTTTTTATAAAAACTCGAAAATAGAATTACTTATGTAAAATTAGACAGTATGTTTAGTATGTGCCATTCAATTAGGGTTATAATATGAAACTACATGAGGTCAATAAACGCGTTTTTTAAATTAAATGTTATTTAATTATAAACAATAAGAGAAATCGAATTTTTAAGTTAGAAAGTTAATATAATAGACTACACCAAACTAAATTATAAAAGCAATTTTTTAAAAAAAAAATTAACATATTCTTGCCAGTAATTGATCCAATTAATGGACCTGAGAAGTTTTAACTGTTATAAAGAAAATTTAGGAATCATTTTCAAAATATTTCGGCTAAAAACTTTTAATGTATTAAATACATGGATTTTACAATGTAGTTTATGATTGAAGTTCTGTATCGTAAATTCTAAAAATACTATTAAGAATACAATAACTGTTCAAAGGTATTTGTGAGTTTCATAAATATATGTGAAACAAAATATTTACATCCGTTTATTTCTTTCACAAAATGAAATTTTCCATTTCTCTGGTAAAAACATATATTTCAGGAAAAAAGAATTAAACATCGAACATTATCAAGATTATTTTCCTCTGTTCTCTCTCTGAAAAGTGCTTAGTCGTCAATTTGAGATACCAATATATATATTTATTCGACAATATCCGTTTCTCCAAATAAAGCAAAAACCTATGTACTTTTCCATGTGACCATATAACACGCACAAAAATAAAATATCTCGTTGAATATAGTTTAGGTTTATATTTCAAAACAGGTTTTCCTCATATGAGAAAATATTTTCGCAAATAATTTTAACCATTGTTCCAGTATTTTCTCCATCTTTATCAAGAATCTTGAAAAACGTTTTAAAAAGAGTCATAGCTTCTAAGAATGCAACTTGAAATAAAATATATCCCACCGTCACATAAAAAAAGAAAGAAAGAAAATGTCTCTGAATCACAGACAACTCATAACCTCAGGAGGATACAGTTATTGTGACATAGCCTCAGATGATGCCATCTATCTAAGAGCAATATCTATAATCTGCACACTTGTGCATGGGAGCTATACAGATCCAGAAATATGAGAGAAGAGAAAAAAATAATTTTTTTGGCTAGTACATTATATAAAAAGTGTAATAGTTTTCTTTATAGGTGACTTGATTTTTTTCCCTAAAAATTTCTTATGGAATTCCGCCAGAGGACAAGGACTATTTATTCAGGGATTTTGTTGTTGTTGTTAATGGTCATATCACTACAAAATATGACATTCTTTGTGTATTTTATTCTTTAAAAAGTTTTAAAGATATATGTCAACTCTTCTTTTCTATCGCATATGATTTTGTAGTTGTAACGATGGAAATACGTGCATGATTTTGTTGAAATGATATATAGATGCTGAAACAGTATTCGCGCATTAATGCACTGAGTATAATGATCTATCTATTGGTATAATCAATTTTATATATTCTAAATATATTTAACTTATATATATACTTATTTGCATATATATATACAGTAAAACCTGTTTTTGTGCGGTTGATAGAGACCGCATAAAAACAAAACGCACAAAAAATATTTGAAAATTTCATACATTCTTACATATAACAAACAACTTCTTCGAAATACTACAGAAAATTGTTTTCAGCGGTGGAGAGGGACCGAGAAAAAAAGCCACATTTACAAAATACGTCAATTATTTAGGAATTTTTTACAGAGAAAATACTTCCATAACAAAATAAATTGTTAAATTACACATGGAAATATTTTAAAAACATTTAGTTTCTCATTGTATATATGGAGAAGTTTTCAAAATGTACATTCATAATTCATTGCTACTCGTCGTAATCCAAAGCACTTATGATGAATAAGTTCAAAATCACTTTTGGCACTTGAAGATACAATTTGAATTGGTTTATTTTTGGCACCGTAATTTAAGAGATAAGTCGAGGGGGGGGGGGGTCAGTTGCTTGTAAATGTCACGATAACCAGATATGCATGATCGAAGCTCTTTTGAGTGAAATTTCATGATTCTTTCGGAATTGGTATCTATTTTAAGAAAATGCTTTTCCAGTTTGTTGAAAAACTGTTTCCCTGCATATATTTTAACCGCTCTCAAAGAATCCGGTTCTTCTTGTCCGTTTTAATAATTTATCAAATTATTGATAATGTCACTGTCATTGAAAGTTTTGTCTTCAATCAAGCGCGGGCTGTTGGAGCGTTGAGAGAAAGCAACTGAACGCGCATTGTAGGGACACTGTTTATAACAAATGAACACAGCGTCTTGAAGTGTATATATGTACATTGTAGTGGCGTAACATACACCCCTGCAACACCCGCCTCGCGGGGAGGGGAGCAGGACTCTAAGAGGCTCAAGGCCTGCCTAACTCCAAGTACGTATTTACCCAATTCATAAAATATTAAAAGCAAAACCGGACATTGCGGGGTACCCTAACATTCTCCGTTACGCCACTGGTATATTGATGGATAATATTACATTGGCATCATAACGTTGAAAGTCATATACCGCATAAAAAAAATCGCACGAAAATAGGTTCTACTTATATTTGTACTTAACTTTCGTAATAGTGATTTTATTCCAATTAAATGTTTTACAATAAATTGACACAATATTTGCGAGATTGCTTTTAATTAAAAAGTAATCTCGAAGATTTTATTTATTTTCTCCTTCTGAATGGCTTGTTAACTATTTTTTTTCTGTGTATTTTATTTCCGTTATA